TTTTAAATGTGGCAACTGGCCAATATTTGAGGGGAGGAGGGAGAGTGAGCTCAGTAATTGTATTTTGTCAAGTAACTTAATTGCTTAAGAAGAAAATATATTAAATTTATAAATGTACTTTTGTATGGGAATTTGCTCTTTTTTTAAAAAAAGCAACTTTAGAAAAAAACAACAAAAAACCTTTAGCCCTGGCTGGTTTGGTTCAGTGGACAGAGCATCGCCTGGGGACTGAAGGATCCGGGTTTGATTCCGGTCAAGGAAACATGCCTGGGTTGCGAGCTCCATCCCCGGTAGGGAGGGTGTAGGAGGCAGCCGATCAATGATTCTCTCATCATTTATGTTTCTCTCTCCCTCTCTGAAATATATATTTTTTAAAGTTTAAATACAAATCCCTTTAACCCGGTGGGCGTGGCTCAGTGGTTGAGCCTTGGCCTATGCACCAGGAAGGAGGTCCCGGTTTGATTCCTCCCTTGGGGCACCATGCTGAGGTTGTGGGCTCTGGGGCGTGCAGGAAGCAGTCAATCAATGATTCTTTCTCGTCATTGCTGTTTCTATCTCTCTCCCTCTCCCTTCCTCTCTGAAATCAATTAAAAAATAATAATAATTTTTTAAAAAAGACTTAAGGGCCCTTCAACAGGGCAACACGTGTTCGCGCAAAAGGAAGTGTGCTCTGCCCAAGGGGAACAAGAACCGACCTAGAAAAAGGTGGGATCGTCTTTCTCTTCTACTGTATCGCCTGCCACCCTCATTTTAAAAAAAAGAAATACACAAAATACTATTTAAAGGCATAAAACCAGCCACCAGGAGTGTCGTTTCCTTAGGTCTGCGCCAGAATGCCCCAGGCCCCCTTCCGTTCCGGTGGAGAACGGGAGCGCGGCCCTCGGGCCTCCTGGGAGGTGGGCCCTTAGGGGAGGCAGGATGAAGGGGTCCAGAAGGGCGTGGGGCGCAGGGAGGCGTCTGGGGCCCGAGGTCACCTGCGCTGCGGAAAGCGAGCTCGGCACCAGTTTCCCGAGCAGGGCCTCCAGTCCGGGTCTCACCTCGCTCTGCGGCCCGTCATTTATATGATGAGGACATGAGGGCCTGGACTATTATCCAGAAAAGCGCTTTTCCAAACTGTTCTGCAGCCTGCAAGGCTCGGGCCAAGCCCGCGCGTCCCCAGCTACCGCGCCGCCCGCGCTGCTGCAGAGGCCGGAAAAGGCCGCCCGCCAGGACTCGCGCCACCCCCACTGCCCGCCGGGAGATACCACGCGGCCGACCCCTCCGGAAGCCCGGAAAGGTATCGTCCACGGCCTCTGATTGGCCAGCGGGGATCGGGGCGGGGCTTCCGGAGCCTGGTTCCGCGCGCCAGAGCCCGCGCGCCGCATTGCGAGCCGGGCTAGGAGCGGGCGCCATGGTGAGGAGTGGTTGTGGTGTGCGAGCCCGGCGAAGGCCGCGGTTTGGGCCTGGGTTTAGGCCTGCGGGGCTTCCGGAGCCTGGTTCCGCGCGCCAGAGCCCGCGCGCCGCATTGCGAGCCGGGCTAGGAGCGGGCGCCATGGTGAGGAGTGCCGGCTCCCTTTCCAGGTGCTGCTGCACGTGCTGTTCGAGCACGCGGTCGGCTACACGCTGCTGGCGCTGAAGGAGGTGGAGCCTGCCGTGGGGGTGGGGCCGGGCAGACGCGGGGGTCGCACTGACGCCGACGCCCCGGCTCCCTTTCCAGGTGCTGCTGCACGTGCTGTTCGAGCACGCGGTCGGCTACACGCTGCTGGCGCTGAAGGAGGTGGAGGAGATCAGCCTGCTGCAGCCGCAGGTGCGTGGAAGCGGTGGGCTCGCGGGCCGCCACGACCCCAGCATGCACCGCGCGCTCCCACGTGGCCGACCGCACGCGTTGGGGTATGCGCTGAGCTGGGAAGCTCCTTTGCAGAGGGTCCTTGTCTTCCTTAGTGATTAGAATCGCCTTAGGATCATTTAGAATCCTCCCACCCTGTACCGCCGGAGCAGAACCGGGATTTAGGGCCCATGATAGGTTCATTCCCTTAGGCCTTCAGTCAGGTCTTCTGAGAACCGCCAGGGCTGAGAACCGCCGCTTTACTGCGCCCTACAGGCTAGAGCGAAGGAAGGAAGACACTTACCCTTTCTCCCCTCCCTCCATCCCCCCAGGTGGAGGAGTGCGTGCTCAATCTGGGCAAGTTCCACAACATCGTCCGTCTCGTGGCCTTTTCTCCCTTTGCCTCGTCCCAGGTTGCCTTGGAAAATGTCAATGCCGTGTCTGAAGGTGAGTAAGCTACCTCCAGGTATTTCAGGAAGATACGCCGATATGTAGGTCCTGCGATTGTCTAGTTCCTTTTCCTAGGGAGCTTGTGATAGTATTTGCCTTTCCTCGTCTAGTTTGTTCTAAATCTGAAATGTTTTGGGTAGTATTTGGTGTGTACACGATGTAATTTAGAGTAGTCTTAGCAGAGCTCAGTATCTGGGGGGTATGGTAGGCTAAATGTTGTATTTAAAGCACATAGTCCAGCGTGCAGTCTTAGACCTTTTGGTCCCAGGAAGCAGGCTGGGAACTAATTATTTTCATGGTGCTCCAGGGTATGTCTTAAGCTTTCAGTTATGCATTTCACATTTGTACTGTTGAACCTGAGTGCTTCTCCTCCCGTGGTTAATGCAGGCTTTGCAGTGATGACTTGAATCTGTCAATCCCCTGAGTGCAATCATTGATGTCTCTATGTCTCTGAGCAAAGCCGAAAGGGGAGGGATATAGGCACACCATCCCAGCATGCTCTGCTGGACCAGTGGTCTGTCAATCAACAGTTGAAGTGACAGGATCCCTTTTGTGATTTAAACATTCTTCAGTCTGTTAGTGGGAGCTCTGTTTTTTGCCCTGAGGTATTGTTCATGAGGATCTCCGCCTGTTCTTGGAAAACGTACCTGCCAACCAAAAAGAAGAAAGTACTCCTGGGGGTTGGGGACCCCAAGATTGGTGCTGCTATACAAGAGGAGTTAGGGTACAACTGCCAGACTGGAGGTGTGATAGCTGAGATTCTTCGAGGTGAGACCATCTGTTGACATTTATGCCATTCTTGACCTAATTGAGGAGGGTTCTGGAAACATTGGGGTGCCTAGGGTTGCTTCTGGATAGCTGTCCTGCTTGGCTGTTGCCTGTGGGTGCAGGAGCTAGCTGAGAGCCTTTCCTTGCTCATAGTCTTACCCTCCTCCAGGAGTTCGTCTGCACTTCCACAACCTGGTGAAGGGCCTGACTGATGTGTCTGCTTGTAAAGCCCAGCTGGGATTGGGACACAGCTATTCTCGGGCCAAAGTTAAGTTTAATGTGAACCGGGTGGACAATATGATTATACAGTCCATTAGCCTCCTGGACCAGCTGGATAAGGACATCAATACCTTCTCCATGCGTGTCAGGTAAGGGGAAGGATGGCCTAGCTCATTTTGGATCCTGAGATGAGGACTGGCTCCTGTGGGCAGAATAATGTGGGGTGGGGCTGGGCCTCCTGGTGCTTACCACAGGCTGTGTTCTTACACTGACTGTACAGAAATAGGAGGCAGAGTAAACTTACCCCATATACACCTCAGCTCAGGCTCTTTGCCTGGTCTGTATTGTGAATGGGGAGACATTGAGTCAAGGAGGTTTGGGATCTGACTAGTTTTCACTTCCTCTGGGCAAAGAGTAGCTGTGGCTATAGCTTTATTTGAGACATGGCAGCTCAGCCAGGGAGTGATTGTGGCTCTTTGCAGGGAGTGGTATGGGTATCACTTTCCTGAGCTGGTGAAGATAATCAATGACAATGCTACATACTGCCGAGTCGCTCAGTTCATTGGAAACCGAAAGGAGCTGAATGAAGAAAAGTTGGAGGAGCTGGAGGAGCTAACAATGGATGGGGCCAAGGCTAAGGCTATTCTGGACGCCTCACGGTCCTCCATGGGTCAGTACAGAGCCTGGCAGCCAAAGTAAGGTATGGGACTATGAATATCTGGCCCTTACATTCCTACTTGGTGTCTTTCAGGCATGGACATATCAGCCATTGACTTGATAAACATTGAAAGCTTCTCCAGTCGTGTGGTGTCTTTGTCAGAGTACCGCCAGAGTCTGCACACTTACCTGCGATCCAAGATGAGCCAAGTGGCCCCCAGCCTGTCAGCCTTAATTGGGGAAGCGGTGAGTCATGGGAAACAAAAATGGGGGGATAAGGAATGTTACGGTGTATATATCCATACTGCTGTGTTTCTTGACCCACCATGTTTTCCCCATGCACTTGATGGGAAGAGGTAAGGCAGGATTATGCAGCTGGTCAGTTGGCAAACCCAGCTTCTGTGACTAATTCCTTAAATCCTTCTCCAGGTAGGCGCACGTCTCATTGCTCATGCTGGCAGCCTCACCAACCTGGCCAAGTATCCAGCATCCACAGTGCAGATCCTTGGGGCTGAAAAGGCCCTGTTCAGGTACCAGTGAGGGCACCTGCCCGCACTCAGGTGCCACTTCTGGTGTCCACTACTTGTTTGGGGAATCACAGTGATGGCTAACCAGGGCATCCTGACCTATACAGGCCTCTGCTATGGGGGTGATGGCCTGTCCTGGTGTCTGAGTGATTCCCAGGGCCCGGCAAAGGGACCAAGTTTCCAGGTCAGCGACATTGGATGCCTTCTCTCTGCCTTGGGAGCTGTGGGTTGGCATGAGGTGGGATAGACCCACCCCAGCCTAAGGCTCACTCCGGAGTTTGAGGGAAAGGGGAGGGGAAGAGCTGCCTTGGCTAATAGGGTTGAAATTTCTGATCTTAACTCTCCACTGAATATTCTTCTCCCAGAGCCCTGAAGACAAGGGGTAACACCCCAAAATATGGACTCATTTTCCACTCCACCTTCATTGGCCGAGCAGCTGCCAAGAACAAAGGCCGCATCTCCCGATACCTGGCAAACAAATGCAGTATTGCCTCGCGAATTGATTGCTTCTCTGGTATGGGTGAGGGAGTGGCATTTGTGAGAAGGGGCTGGGAGTGAGTGGGGAACTGAATACCTTAGCTTCTACAATGATGGTAACATTTTTCGTCAACAGCAGTTCACCTAGTGAGTGTTGATACTTTGGGTCTGAGTGAAGCTAAGGGTAGAGGAAATACTGGGGATGAGGAGCTTGTCCCTTTAGGAGCTGACAGGCTTTGTTTACCCACACACACACACATCCAGAGGTACCCACAAGTGTATTTGGGGAGAAGCTTCGAGAACAAGTGGAGGAGCGGCTATCCTTCTATGAGACTGGCGTGATTCCACGAAAGAATCTGGAGGTCATGAAGGAGGCAATGGTACAGGTCAGTTTGGGCTTTGCTGGGTGGGGCTTTGCATAGCTACCTGTTGGAGGTGATGAACTGTCTTAGCCTGACCTTGTAGAGTGGAGGCAAAAAAACTGATTTAATGAGCCTGATCCAATGAAGCCAGGAGGGAAACCTGTCAGGCCAGAGGTCTTCAGAGCCTTTCAGCACTTTTCTTTGGCCAGGCAGAGGAAGCGGCTGCTGAGATTACTAGAAAGCTGGAGAAACAGGAGAAGAAACGCTTGAAGAAGGAAAAGAAACGGCTGGCTGCGATTGCCCTTGCATCTCCAGAAAACAGCAGCAGTACACCAGAGGAGTGTGAGGTCAGTAGGCAGATCCTGAGTGAAAATTCTGGGTTGTAGGATTTTCAACAGTAGAACAAAGGATGTGACCTCAAAGTCATAGTCTTGAGTCCAGGCCTTTGGACTGAAACCAGGACTTGAAACCTCTAAAACTGCCTCTTGATTCTATAGGAAGGAGATAGGTGCTGAGAGAACTTGTTCAAGAGCCCAGAGAGCTGGTTGTAGCACACTGGTTCCCTGGGCAAGTGTGTTCTGTCCTCGGCTGCCTGCCAGGAGTCCTCAACTGGGGGTAGTGTGAATTCCTGCTGTTTGTTCTTGATTCTCGGCTGTGTGTCTTCCCTGGGATTTTCATAGCGCCCAGTTTGTCAAACAGTATTTCAGGGTCCCCTCTGGAACTAGGCATGATGGTTTTATTGTGACCAACATGATGGGGTTTTCTCTTATGGGCTTAAGTAATTACATCTCTCCCCACCTTTAAGTGGGAGTCACCTTTGGGGCGGTTTCCAGAATTCTACCCATATAAAAACCATCCCCAGAAACATTGGACAACTTTACAGCATTTCCACCAGTTTTTCTGCCCTACTTAATTGCTGGAACTCTAATGGGGTGGGG